TGCCTTATTAATAAGTGGGTGTATCCAAGGAACCTCAAAAACTAAATTATTTAAATCATTGAATTGGAATGAACTGCCTACTAGAACAGATGAAAAATATTTAAAGTTAATGTACCAGGTTAAAAACAAGACTGTCCCCTCATACCTTCAAAGAATTTTTGACCAGCATAGAAATCCGGTACAAAATGTGAACCTTAGAAGGATTAGACATTTTACTGCCCCAAAGCCAATTGGCTCCTTTTCCAAATCCCCAGTTACTAGAGCAATACGTTTATGGGAAAAGCTCCCAACTGATCAAAAAGAAAGTAAAAGTTTTGCTAGTTTTAAGAGAAGTGTCAAAACTCATCTTAAAGATAAAAATTTACCATTACCTACATCTCAGTTAGAACTATTACGAAAGAGTGAAATATTCTTAAATCGTATTAGATGTGATTTTATTTTCTCTGGCCATTTTTTCTTACATAATTTTAGAGATGTAGAAAGTCCAAAATGCTTATGTGGCTACAGAGAACAAACTTCAAAACACCTTATCTTCAATTGCCCGCTGTTAGTTAAAGAAAGAGAAGAACTTTGGGGGGAGCTTAGGGTGATGCCAGAACTGAACCATTTCTTTTTAATTGGATGCACTTTAGAACAAAAGACCAATACACTTTTGTTTGGAGATAATTTAGTGAATAACAAAATCAAAGGTTGTGTATTTAAGATTTTTACTAACTTTCTCTGTAAAATAATGGAAATTATTTGAATTATCAATTTATAACATTTAATCAGTTGTTTCAACAAAAAGCCATCTGTAATAATTTGTATGTTGTATTCTCACAGGGCCAATAATGCTTTCGCCTAGGCCCTGTTTATGTATTATATATATATGATTTCAATAAATGAACCATAAAAACTAAAAACTGTAAAAGGTATATTCATTCTTGACATTTAATGTTTTAAACATGGTTCAGATCAGCTTTTCTTATATGTGACAATCTTCAAAAATTCTGGGTTTGAATATAAGTTGGATATGTATGCCATGCAGCTGGATTCTCTTGAAGCCATATAATTGGACCTGATTCCAGGAGGTGAAATAAGAGCCATGATCTCTCAGTTACAAACATTGCTAGTGATGGTTTAACATTGCCTAAGTGAGCAGCAACTGGGTTGTAGTCAGGCTGTACTGGTTTGCCAGTTGCAAATTGTACAGGCCGTGGGATGTTGAGCAGTGCTTTAGCAAGCTCCTGCTTCTCCTCTCTGGCAATGTATTCGTCGAATAGGGACAAAACAACTAATTCAGGGCAGAGGTACCATAGATGGTGTCTTACACTGTGAAGAGCTGCGTTTGCTATATCAGGGTCGTACTGGTGATAGAATTTCTGTCAAGACCTGCATTCTGTTAATGATCCAGCTGAACAAGCAGTGAAGCTGGTACAGGAATGCTCTCAAATGACCCGTGATGCGGCGCACCGTGACAATGTATGTGTTGTACACTCAGATCAGAGAGGAAGATTGTCACATATAAGAAAAGCTGATCTGAACCATGTTTAAAACATTAAATGTCAAGAATGAATATACCTTTTACAGTTTAAACCATTATAATGATAATACCAAATCATATATGAGACATGATTCTCTAAAACTGTACTTGTTCAAATAATTATACTGGTCGAATGTACCTGATATTTTGTTAATAGGACATTGTAAGTATAACCTTTTATATAAGTTAATTAACATGATGAAACAGTGTAATATGATGATTTAAACATCTAATCATATCATATACAATGTTGGTTTTCTTCAAACAACATAAATAAATCACTAGAAAAAAAGCTTGTACAAAGTACAATTTTGGGCAACACCCACTAATGTTAAGCCTATGGGCAAACTTTAGAGGCTGTGGGGGACCCCTAAAAGTTGACTAAAAAATTTGAAAAAAATCACAGGTGATATTTACCCCAAAATGCAACTCGATTCACGTAGGGAGCATAACATTTCCAAAAAAAAACTATTTTGAGCCACCCTATTGTACGTAAACCCGTCATTAAAATAAGACAACACGAATTTGTCTCGGTATTTAGACATTCCCAAGTGAAAAAATCCAATGGACGTTGCATATTAAATGCCGACCTTATACCGACCTAATGTAGTTGTCTAATACCCAACTAATACCGATGAAATCCTTCTAAAATTTATCATGCAAATGAGCTAATTTAGAAGTCCTGTCAGCCAATCAGCTTTAACCAAATACCGACCAAATACCGACCTAGTACCGATCTAGTACCGATCTTATATAGCTCTAATAACGATGCACCGGTATAGGACTATGCTATTTAATATGGCTTTAGTGAAACTCCAATACCGATGAAGTACCGACGAAGTACCGATCAAATACCGATCAAATACCGATGCATCGGTATTGGACAGGGATATTTAATACCGCTCTAGTACAGCTCCAATATTGATTAAATACAGATAAAATCCGGTGTCTTCCCATTTCGCCCCTTCCCACTTTTCTCCCTTCCCATTTCGCCCCTTTCCCAAATTGCCCCTTACCCATTTTGCCCCTCTTCCATTTCACCCCTGTCCCATTCAGCCCCCTTCCCATTTCGTGAGATATCACAGCCTCCTATCATTCCCCCTTCGCCCCTTCCCAATTGTCCTCTTTCCCATTTCGCCCCTCATTTATTCCCATTTCACCCTTCCCATTTTGCCCCTGAATAATTGAATAATATTTGAATAAAACCTGTTATTGATCTAAACTGGGAATGGGCGAAATGGGAAGGGGCGACATGGGAAGGGGCGAAATGGGAAGGGGCGATAAGGGAAAGGGGCGATATGGGACATGGGAAAGGGGTGAAATGGCAAAGGGGCAAAATGGGAAGGGGCGAGATGGGAAAAGGGCGTATTGGGAAAGGGGCAAAATGGGAATAAATGAGAGGCAAAATGGGAAGGGGCGAAGTGGGAAGGGGCGAAATGGGAATAATGGGAATAATCAATATCATATTTAAATACAGCTAGTAACACAGATCTTATGACAATGCTTCTGTTTCAGCCTTTTGCCTTCTGATCAAAATTAATATAATGATATGATGTATGTCAACAGACATGCAGTAGCTCAAACTATAGAACACCTAAAAGCTCCAAATGACTGTTTGTTATTTAGTGATGTAGTACTGAAGTGCTCAAGACCAAATCTGGTTCTGGCCTATTACATGTATTAATTAATTCACATGCAAAGTCCAAAGTTTTTTCAAAATTCTCGCAAAAACTACAGATTTTGTCAAAAATCTCCCGCAAAACTACCACTTTTTGCAGAATTTACCGCAAAAACTATTGCTTTTATTAGAAAAAAACTGGAGATAATCCACTTTTTTGTTTTATTTCACCATAAAAACTCCAGTTGTTTCAAAATTTACCTAAAAAACTCCTGATTTTTAAAAATCTACCACAAAAACTACCAATTTTTTTAAAAACCTCCCGTAAAAACTACCAGATTTTGGAAAAATCTCCCGTAAAAGTACCACAATTTTTTTTAAATATAACGCAAATTGTTCATTTTAGGTTGGCCCTGGGTATGTAAGATGATATATAAGCAATTATTATGTTACATCACTGGTAATTTTACCCATTCAGAATTGTCCTGAAGGCAAGAAGGCTCACAGTTATTGAAGGACCTCTAGGCCTCCAGCAGTATTTACGTTTTTATAAAATACCTTATATATTTACTGCATGGTACAATTGGTCATACACAACACATTTATGCTTGACCACTTTGACTGTATGTATAATGAATAGAATTAAAATTTGGCCTTGATAAATTCACAAAGAAAAGAAGATTTGCCCATCTAAATTGGAATAACACAGCAATACTTACATTTTACCCCTCACAAAATAGACATGCAGAATGTTCAAGTATGTCAGTAACTTCTGAATCTATATTTGATTGGTCATTTTCATACTATTGTTATAAAATCATGAAATTACCCAAATCTCTTACAGTTGAACATTCTTTGTCAGCCATTTTCTTTTGGTTTAAAAAGAGCGGGAAGTTTAACACCGATCTAGTATAGATGTCCTAATTTTTTATAACGTAATACCGCTCTTATACCGCTCAGTCTGTATCAACAAGATTAAATATAAGTTAACACCGCTGTAATATAACTCTAGTACCGACTAGTCGGTATTAACAGATTTAACACCGATGCAATATAAGTCTAGTACCGGCTATACTAGTCGGTATTAACAGATTTTAATACCGTTCCAATGCCGCCCAGTAATTTAGAAGGATTTGAGCGGCATTAGAGCGGTACTAGGTCTAAAGTAGGTCTAAATTAGAATTTTTTTACTTGGGTTGTTTTGTCATGGCCGTCTGTTTCGTCTGGAAATTAGGCCATGACACGCCTAATTTACACCGCGGTGGGAATTAATTTCCACCGAGGTAAAAATAGAATAAAAAAATCTTATTCAAAAATCAAAAAAATAATAAAAAAAACGAAAATTCTTTATTCCGAAAAAATTCATGTCCCTTATAAAGCTTCGTAGAAATCAGACAATCTCAACACGTTGTACAAACGTCTACGACTTAAATTTAGAGCAAAATGTGTAGTGTACTCATTGATTTCGACGTTTTGACAGAACATGAGTATTATAATAGAAATATCGACGATGCCACGCAAAGATGCCTCTATGAGATGAGATCAATAGACATACATATCCAAAATAAACAAAAAGTCACATTTTAATTAATATGTCAAAGAAATACTACGTAACTTCAGTATGTTGGTTCTCAGTTGCTATGGTATAGAGAATACACTCAAAATATGAACTGCATTTTCGTTTTCCCAAAATTAGTATTTTTAACATCAAAGGTCCTTTTTAGTTTGGAACCCTGACGTCTGCGTTAACAAAACAGGTTCCATAATTTTCAGATATCAATGAATGTAAGAGCAACCCATGTCAAAATGATGCTGACTGTGTTGATGGGATAAACAGGTATACTTGTACTTGTCCTCCAGGTGTCTCTGGTACTCACTGTGAACGAGGTAATGCCCCTTTACACTTTTCAAAACCGTTTCACTGTTATACATTGTTGGGTTTTAAACTGCTACTTTTTGTTCAATATGAGTTTTACCCCATAGCAGCTTGTTTTATAAGGTTATCGTTGTTCTAAGTAGTATAGTAATGACATTCACTAAAAGTTATTCCATGATCATAGATGTTCTAAATGAATGCTCACCCAACCCATGTCTAAATCGTGGTCAGTGCGAAGATTTACCAGGAAACTTTAAGTGTACATGTACATCACAATGGGGAGGACTAACATGTGAGATATGTAAGTAGAACCCTTTCTTGTCTTACAAGGGTTTTGTCATGGGTGTTAACCACATACATACCAAAGGAGTTTGGGATCTTGATATCTGTTTTGTTCCAATGTGCTTTGATAGAACTTGAGAAAGGAGACAAAACTAGAACTTGTAAACTTGTATTGGTAGAAACAAAAAAATTTATTTTGCTTATACGATTCTATAGACGTTTAGACCCAAGCTTTGATATCAAGTTATGTAGGATAAGTTTTACAAAATGGCTCAATATATATTCCCCAATAAACTCTGAAACCTTTCAGTATATCAAAGACGTTATAATATACTAGGTAGATTGATGATATATTGAAATGCGTGTATCTGCACTTGTCTTAGCCAAAACGATTTTTAATTTCTCGCTATAGCTATAGACACACTCGACCTTTGTACCCAGGATACCTTTGGAAAGAGAAAACCCAATCCGTGTAGAAATAAGGGCACGTGTGTGAGCAAACCGGGGAGCTACTCCTGTCAATGTCCTAAAGGGTTCACTGGAAAACATTGTGAAACTAGTAAGTCCGAATATGAATTATAGAATATAAATAATCGTACGGGAATATGAACACACGACGGACTAAAAGGACTATGTGTAATTTCAACATCAATTTCATTTACGAAGCCACATGTCTCCAATGATATTTGTTCTCATGTGATCATGGACCACTCACTGAATAATCATTGTTTTTCGTAGATTTATGAAGAAAAAATAATTAACTTTTAGTGTTCGTCCGTATACTCGATTAACGTTACAAACATATTGAAAAAGAATGTCGACCCACCTTTCATGGCGATACTGACACTGCTGTTATTTTGTTCGCTTTGTACACATAGAGAGATATATGACTTCAATGAACATACACTTTGATTTGATTTTAGATATTAATGACTGTCTACCAAATAAATGCCAGAGAGGTGCCAGGTGTAGGGACTTGGTTGCTGACTATAGCTGCAGCTGCCCACGTGGGTACTCTGGCAAAAATTGTGAAACAGGTATGCATTCGTATTGCTTATTTAAAAGGATAGTCTCTGTGATTGTGGTCCTAAATATGTAATTATTTTTTATTGTCTTGTATATTTGTTCTCCATTTAGCATATTTTAGGGTTTGCTCGTCCAATGAAAACCCCCAGTCAGTAATGTTTTGATCACAGACTATTTCTTGTTTTTTGGAGCAAATTAATTATGTGGTACATCAAAAATTACATATAACCTGAGACTAACAATGGTCTCTGATATAACAAATCTGTATATATGACTCGAAGGAATGCACATTTTCTTACAGAGACTGATGAGTGTGCTTCAGGCCCTTGTCTCAATAATGCCACCTGTATAGATCTCGTAGGAAAATACACCTGTAATTGCACTCAAGGGTTTTTAGGATCAACATGCAATATTGGTAAATACTGTATACGTTATCTTTACTGTTAGATAAACAATATGACCTTTAATAATCCGCTCTGGAATCTTAAGGACAGTTAAGCTAATTGCGTGTGTGAATATGTTCATTATAAGTTCAAACATACATGTAGCTAATCAATGTCATTGTGTGTATTCATAATCATTCGCATTACAGCAGATAAGACTCGTTTTTTAAATTTTTATATTGTTTTACTATAAAAATGTTTTAATGATATATGTAGATAGCTTTTCTTTGCAAAATTAGATATTGATGAGTGTGAAAGTGACCCATGCCTCAATGGTGCAACTTGTGAGAATTTGCCGGATAGATTTTACTGCGCATGTAGAGAAGGATTCAGTGGACCACAGTGTGAAAATGGTAAAACTTAAGAAGTTGAGGCATATTGTTATAGCCAACATTTTTGAAATCAGTGATCAGCAGTTATTGTTGGCTTTTGTTGCATGTAGCCAAACTGAATGACTTTCATGTTCAATTATATACCAGATTGTGACAGTTTCATGTTAATGCGTCTTCAATTTGTTATTTGCCAATTATTATGTCAAATAGTAATATTATATATGTTTTCTGAGAATACATTTTTGTTCACACATTCATTTAAGATCTTGAGGATGACTGTTTCCCGTATCCATGCAGGAATAATGGAACGTGTATAGATATGGAGAAGGACTATAGATGCGCCTGTCAGCCAGGTTATGCAGGGAAGGACTGTGAACAAGGTACATCTTCATATAAGTAATGTAAATGTAGTGGCTGTCATCTTCAAAACCAGAAATAACCATGTATATCTTTTTAATTCTCTCTCAATTATCTATTGACTATCAGTAGATTGACTAGAATGTAGAAGGTCGTATGTAGGTATAACACAAAACAACATAAAATAAAGCATAATAATTATGTTGTCCTTTTTATTGCAGATATTGATGAGTGTGCTGAGAAGCCATGTAGGAATGGTGGAACCTGTCATAATATGATAGCAAGCTTTTCATGTGACTGTATGCCTGGGTTCACTGGGGATACCTGTGATGAAGGTAAGAAGATTAATGTGATTAGTGTGTCTTATATCCATTAAATCGGCTCACATAAAAGGCTTGTGTGAAAATCGGTCCATTTGCTCCATCGGTCCATTTAGTCTCAGCTCTTGACATCATTTTGAATAAATACATCTTGAAATTAAAGATTACCTTACTGCTAGTTAATAAATCTTCAACACCATTTGCTTTTGTTCAGATATTGACTATTGCGCTAGTGATCCATGCTTCCATGGTGGAAGCTGTCGTGACCTACTACTCATTTATGAGTGTGACTGCCCTAAAGGTTTTGTTGGGTATGACTGTGAAAGAGGTATGCTTTACATTTCTAAATCCAGTCTTGCATCAAGCCTCTGGGTCCCATTATCTATTGCTCTTCTCATATGTAGACAGTGGGAAGACTAACTTAAAGAATCTCATGCAGGAATGCTACAATACTCGTATTTATTTCCTTACCAAACGTATCTTGGAAAGTTTGAAATGTATTGCATATGTTTTTATATTTTATACATCTGAATAAAGACTTAAGATATTTATTTTCAGATATCGATGAATGCTTATCCAGACCTTGCAGAAACTTTGCTACTTGTGTGGATGGGGCTGACAGCTTTGAATGTCACTGTCCAGTAGGATTTACAGGGATGTACTGTGAAACAGGTAAGTTCAGAGAAAGCATTTATGCAATATGAATTACATTGGAACTCTCTGAGACATACACTAAATACTATTATTCTTTGGACAATTGAATTTACAAGGGATTCTTTGAGATGTTATTAGAGTTGCTGTCTTTAATTGAAATTATTGGGAAGTTCTGGACATCATTTTAAGCTATGACTAAGTTTTTTATATATTAATTTAATCCCACATGGCAATATGACATTAGGTTTATCACCCCTTTGACGTTTTATCCACTATAGATATTGATGAATGTGGTCCAAAACCTTGCGAGAATGGCGGCACATGTATTGATGCAGTAAATGGAGTAAACTGCGTGTGTGAGAAAGGATGGACTGGTGAGCATTGTGAAACAGGTACGGAAAAATTATCTTAATCAGTTCATTGGACTCAATATTAATTGTTAAAGTTATATTCACTTGTTCTGATATTGATATAAACTTGTTGGTTTGTGATATCCTATCACTCAAAACAATACAATACAATACTAAGCAAATATTTCATTCTATGGAGGGCAATACCTGTTCATCTTTCAATGATTTTTGCAGCATGTATTGCCCGCAGCCCGAAGTGCGAGGGAAATACATGCTGCAAAAATCATTGAAAGTGCAACAGGTATTGCCCGAACATAGAATGAAATATTTGTTTTATTATATCATTGCTAGACATTCGCTTACTTTGCAGACTGGCACTCTTGTAATATTCCCCATCCTTCGTTCGCAGTTCCAAAAAAAACTCTAAAATTCCATCCAGAACGATTTTATCGATAGATTTAACGTCTATTTCGTCCACATAACACTTGAAAATGTTCTAAGACATTAGATGTCATTCCGTTGATTTAATGGTGTTTTTAGAATGCACATCCCTCAAGATGTCGTTCTTTTCATCGGAATTCAGACTTTTAAATCTTTTTCTGTCTGCCATTTTGATGCACGTCACAACTGTACTGGACGAAACGGGACGATTCAGAATTCCCGGGCGGGCAATACGCCGGGCAATACGTCTTTTATTATTCCAAAATTAAGGGAGGTGTGAAATACGCTTTGGTATTTTTGATCACATGGTACTGAATCAGCCAATCAAAGGACACAAATTCTAGCAATGATATAATAATATAAGTTATTCAATGATTCGAGTAAAATACAGAAAACATTCTTCCCGAGAAGGTCGTATTTCACGATGCGCTAGCAGAGTGAAATACAGACCTTCAAGGGAAGAATATTTTTTGTATTTTACGAGAAATCATTGAATAACGTTTTTATTCCATGATTACTCAGATAAAACTCCCCTTAATCAAGTCCATTTCCTTGGCTTGGGACCGGAGAAACAGATCAACCTTCTCACCTCAAAGATATTTTACATCGAAATTCCTTCAAATCCTTTCGGCCTTGGTTGCTTTTATTGTATTATAAGTTTGATTTCATTTATTTTTTCTTCAATTTCATCAACTGGAAGTGCAGTGTAGCGAAACGTTTTTTCGACTTTCGTTGCCATATTGGATTTTTACTTGTTCATGAAAACAATGTTCATGCTTCATATTGATTTTTTGTTATATTCACCGATGCGTGTTTTATCCTAAAATTATAAAGTGTGATGATCACCGTATCATTTCCTGATATTCAAATCAGATATTTGTAGCAAAATGCAAATATTAGCATGCGTTGATTTTTTCAGTAATAGTCATATCCTTGATGGAAATCTGGGGCGTTGGGATACTGGACCGTATCCCAACGCTGCAAAATTTTCACTCTGTATCCAACGCTCAGTGGAATTTGCGTGTAAATACAGGATATATTTAAGTCACGTGGACCAATCAGATTGCAGGGAATTTTACCATCATGGAATAAATATTGACATACAGTACTACAGATATTATAGGAATATCCTCTGTTTTTTAAGAAGTAATATTTTATAGTTTGGGGATTTTGGCTAAAATATGATACATTGATCCAGATATCAAATATATCATCATTTGATCTAAATCCTTTCAATCATGGATAATGACATATATCATATATGTATGGTAACAGAAACTGACACATTATGCAACATATATTGACATATAGTGGTGTACATATTGACACATAGTACTACAGATATTGATATGGCAACAACTATTGACATAAACTGCTACAAATACTGTATAGACAAATATTTTTTTGTTATTAACATATACAAAATGGTGACAGAAACTGATAAATCATAGCCTACACTATATTCCAGATATTGATGAGTGTAAGCCAACCAACCCTTGTTGGAACGATGGTAAATGTGTCAATACTAAGCCAGGCTTCAAATGCTCTTGTCCTAGTGGTATTAAAGGAGATCTCTGCCAGGAAGGTAATCCAACATATATAATAAAAAACTGAATGCCTATGTTAAAATGAAATCTACTTCTATATTTAGAGTATACTCGTAGGTTATGTTAAAGATAGAGCCAGTGGATGATATGAGATCTAGAGAGTAACTTTCGCAAGAAAACGTCCCGATTTAATAAAATGGGCTCGATAATATAATGGGCTCAATTGATATCCTTGTCAATTTTATTTTCGAAAAATCCCTCTATACTAATGCATAATTATTCAATCAAACGAAGTTTTGAGGGATTTAGAGAACGCCTCGGTCCATCCGTACATCCGTCTGTCCGGGCGCTAACTCAAATACCGCTGACCAGTTCATATTTTATTCATATGTGCCCAGTAGAAGTTATGCTCAAAAGTCGATTTTAAAATGGCCGCTCTTATTAAAATGACGGTTATTTTAGTGCAGATTTTTACAAGTCTAAAACTAATATTTTTTGCTATAACTTCAAAAGTAGTGGAGAAATTTTGTTACTCTTATTCTTATTTAATATGTGGTGACCTATAAGCATTGGGCATTGTCTTTGACACTTTGGCTTTTAAGCGGCCATTTTGAAAATGGCTGACATTTTACACGTGTCATTTATGTTTTCTACGATACTACGAAATGTATGTGAAACTGTAATATTGTTTATGTTTTTGAGGTAAAAAAGTTTGATAAGACATTAATGAAGGTCGAAATGTAGATATTTAAGAAACACATGGCAGTCATCTTGGAAAACGGCCGGCCTTACATGCTATTTAACTACATTTGCTATTATTTGAAAAGCAGTGAAGCGATTTTGTTCATATTTAGTATATGATGACTTATAATCATGGCACACTGTCAATGTCGGATGTCATTTATGTTTTTTACTATAACACGAAATGTAATAGAGTGATTTTGTTCATACATGATGACTTATAAGCCACTGGTAAGTATCAAGCGAAAGTAACGACTGTGACCTTCGCATCTAAGATGGTGAACGGTATTTGTCGATTTCGATATTTTTAGTTTTCATTGAATTAATCTATTTTAAAGTTGACGTTATGCTATATTATTTCAACCATATCAGACTTAGATGACATGGGAACTATGTTGTTACAGACATATTAACATATATACAGGGTGTCAAATAAGTCCCGTCCCCCTTCTATAGCTAAAACCTTAATATATGGTATCTTGTGTGATATACCATTGGAAAGATCATCCAAAGTTATGTCAACACACCAACTTTCAAGTATTTTGGATGAAATTTACCTATATTTTCATGATGTCCTTTATTGTTAACATGCCCTCATTTAATCAGCTTTTTGCGTCAAAATGACAAGGATATGACCTCTGAAAAACGTCAAAAAGTTAATCTTTTTCGCATTCCACTTGTTACATAAAAAGGTTTTCACCACTTTCCTTGCATCTCTATTTTCTGCACATCTAACCCTATCCAGCAATTGGTTCAATTCATTGCCATATACAAATTAAGTCATATTTTGGTCCTTTGACCTTTCTTATACCCGATTCTTAAAATCCTGCCAAATACGCCAAATTGCCATGTTTCTAGGCCTGTGGTCACCTCAATTGATACAATGTAAAAATTTGTGAGATTGATTGACATGTGTCACATATATGCCAATCAACGTAACTTTGGAAGACCTTTCCAGTGATATATCACACTTGGTACCAAATATCTTGGTGTTGCCTGTAGAGGGGGACGGGACTTATTTGACACACTGTAGATGTACACATAAGGCAAAACATGGTTCAACTGACAAAGACTGACTGAAAAAACTGGTTAAATGGTATCAAAAAACTATAAGTTTCATTGCTGTTCAAGAGGCTTTTGGGATCCAATTTCCTGGGAGAGGGTTGCAGCAAAAAGGACCATATGGAAAAATGTGCACAATTATGAAGAAAATGGAACAAATTTGAACTTGAACATTAATAATGTTTTGAACATTCACTGTGTCAGTGAAAAACGTCAAAAAGTTAATCTTTTTCGCATTCCACTTGTTACATAAAAAGGTTTTCACCACTTTCCTTGCATCTCTATTTTCTGCACATCTAACCCTATCCAGCAATTGGTTCAATTCATTGCCATATACATATTAAGTCATATTTTGGTCCTTTGACCTTTCTTATACCCGATTCTTAAAATCCTGCCAAATACGCCAAAATTGCCATGTTTCTAGGCCTGTGGTCACCTCAATTGATACAATGTAAAAATTTGTGAGATTGATTGACATGTGTCAGATATATGCCAATCAACGTATAACTTTGGAAGACCTTTCCAATGATATATCACACTTGGTACCAAATATCTTGGTGTTGCCTGTAGAGGGGGGACGGGACTTATTTGACACCCTGTAGATGTACACATAAGGCAAAACATGGTTCAACTGACAAAGACTGACTGAAAAAACTGGATAAATGGTATCAAAAAACTATAAGTTTCATTGCTGTTCAAGAGGCTTTTGGGATCCAATTTCCCGGGAGAGGGTTGCAGCAAAAAGGACCATATGGAAAAATGTGCACAATTATGAAGAAAATAGAACAAATTTGAACTTGAACATTAATAATGTTTTGAACATTCACTGTGTCAGTACAACTTTGAATGCTTACTTTGCACCACCTTTAATAATGGTTATGATTTCTCAGTCAACTAGTTACATACTGATCTAGGTTTCATGATGGATGGATATGATGGAGGACTTTCACTGACCTTCGTATTCCCCAAAAATTGCTCAGAATTCTTGTAATCTGGCTTAACTGAACTGAATTTATCTTACACCCGTCCTGTTCATGAAAGGAATGGATTTTACCATTTAATGAACTTAGTTAGTAGCCGAGACAACACAAGTCCCAAGTCTGTAAATTTACTCTCATTTCTTCACTTTTAAGAGTTAAGTCACCACATTTTGCATGCACATTCCTAAAAAGCCTAACATAGAATTTCATTGGTTTTGATTATAATTTATTTGTTAAATATAGGGAAACATTTTATTTTGATTGGTCTGTAATCAAAATTTTCCATTTTGTAACAAATGCGACATTTTGACGAAATTAATAAAAGTCTCTACTTTTGGTGTAATAACTCCAAAATGACCAAATGTTTTCTGGTGTATTGTAAATAATTTTCAGCATTTTACCTTCCCAGATTCTACAGCCTCGACAGGATTTACCCTTAGTATATGATGGAACATAATTATTTTCAGTGTGTGTTCCACCCAGGACTCCATCTGGAGTTATTGAGGAGGTAGTATCCAATGGATACTTGAATTCTGTAGTACGCTATAATTGCAAGGAGGGGGAGACCCTTGAAGGCTCAAGATCTAGGTGGTGCAAATTAGGTGGCGATTACTCAGGCGTTCCTCCTAAATGTAGCAAACAATCAGATTACCGTGAGTCTTAAGCCACAGCATAAACTGATTTTATTCTTTTTTAAGATAATAAAATTCCAAGCTCAGAGGATTCATGAAAATACCTTATACAATTGTATTTACTCTTCACCCACTGCCCGAATGTGGCTTAAAATGTTACCGTTTGAATGTCACTTGATGTAATTCGAATTACTTTTTTTCCAGATGACTGATTATTGGTCTGATCACCAGGATTCAATGAAAATTAGTTATAATGTCCAACTTTCAACTTTTCATTTGTATCGTCATACTTCATACTGTATACTTCATATACATGGTGTTCCAAAAGTAACAGGACTGGTGCTGGCATTTTGTCAATTCTGCACCAAGTATGTTCAAATTCTCACAAATTGTACTTTGAAGTAGTGCAACTAAAATTGCAAAGTTTCAGAAAAAATGATAAAATGCGGGTAAAGTTATGGTTACTATAGTAACGTGACATCACAATACCCGGGGCAACTTTTTCATGAAAATGTAATATCTAACATTTTTATATGACTGAAGAAAGTATCTAATTCGCCTATTACAATACAAAAGTTCTTGTTTGTTTTATTAGTTGCTTTATAGTTATGGGGTTGCTATACAACTCAGATTCAAGCATGATTTCAAAATAATAATATTTATTCAATTTCCTAAAATATTATTATGTATAACAGTCTGCACAATTCATTGTTGAGTTTTTGAAAAGACCCAATTTGAAGCCAGTCATCCACCTTGATAAGGCGTCTGCCCGCAAGTCAGCATTAAAGACCACTGCAGCTATAGCGGAGCTAGATCTTGAGATCTAAGACCATGCATCATACTCTTCTGATCATGCAATATCTAATTTTTACTTTTATATGGGTAATGGAATGCTAATCAGCGCGGTAAGACCTTTAAAGATGAGAATGACCTTCTCCAAGTTGTCCTATCGACCCTGCGTGACATGTCATCAAATGGGTTCACTCATGTGTTTGAGTCATGGATACTGAGTGCTACTCTTGGACTGACCAAAGAGGAATATCAAATAATGTATTTAGCAAATGTAATTCCCACCAGTTGTTGGATTCTAACTTTGCTATGGGATGTACAAAATGCTTAAAGTCTCTGTAACTTTCTGTGTGGAATGTTGCCCCGGGTATTGTGATGTCATGTTGCCATAGCAACCATAACTCTACCCCAGTTTCATAATTTTTGTCAAAACTTGGCAGTCTTAGTTACAATACATGGAAGTACATTATGTAAAATTTTGAAGACGATTGGTGCATATTCGACAAAATGCCAGCACCAGTCCTGTTACTTTTGGAACACCCTGTAGTGTCATCATACTTCAAATTCATGCAAAAGCAAAATCTTCACAATTGTCATTTTCAGAATCTAAGAAGTGTCCGACCCTGAAGAACCCCAGCAATGGAATAGTGACTGGCTTTGGAGGCTATATTGGTATGAACATGAAATATAGGTGTAACCCTGGATATGTCCTCAAAGGAGACGCAGTAAGGATTTGTACAAAAGAAGGAAAATGGACTGGAGAGGAAGCCATTTGTGAAAATTTTAAAAGTAAATTAGTTTTTTTCATCAAAGGATCGTGCAACACTATGATAAATGTTTAAGTATGTTCATTTACGTAAAGAAGTCTATTGATAGATAGCTAGGATTGTTGCAAATTTCGCGACAACAGATTCCCGATATAAACTTGTTACCGTAAATCGATACTATAATAAGTAATTTATATATTTTTCAAAATTTCATACTTCTCAACTTAAGAATTTTTGAAATTCCGGGCTGATTTAAAAAAATCCGGGTTCTCCGGGTTGTATAAAAATATTTTTGGTTTAATCCACGTTCAATTTTCATTAATATTTCCGTTTTTGGGTTGAGTTTGACTAGAAAAATCCGTTTTTTCCTGATTGGTATTTTGATGAATAAACGATACATGTAGCATCGTCGGTTTTTCAAATCCTCATTTTTTTATTTTTTAGAGTACAAAAGTTTAATACAAAGACATTAAATATAAAAATAAATGATCCAAGACCCTGTAGTCATAATGTGAATTGTATTTTTACGTCAAAATCGGCAATTTCCCGGAACGGGCGAAATTAGGTAATGGTGATTGCATGTTAATTAGGCACTTTGGTTATACATAAAATGAATGTGGATATGACTTAATAGGAATAGCAGTTTTAAATTTGCGAACAAATAGTTCAAACAGAATCATTGATATGATACCTCACTATTATTACCTAAACGGAACCTGGTCTTAACCGATTTTTTGAAGTTCCATCCGATGAAGTTCGTTGTCTTAACGGAGGAATCTAATAAACTTAATATACATTTGAAAGTTTGTAAAACTTCAAGGGAGATATGAATGGTTTGTTTCCTAATCGTTAAAAGCTAGTATTGGCTCACGCAGCAGTGAGCATGTGTAATATTCTAGGCGTCTCTCCGTCCGTGACGATTAGTTGAACTTTGAATTCACATTTTTGAGATTCGCGAATTCAATGGCTTTACTTTTTGTGGCCTTGAAATTCATTTCCAGGTCTGAGACTTTTTAAAAATTCAACGAAGATCAGATCAGATGGAGATAAAGCTTTCTTTAACCATATTGTCTTTAGCATATATACAGGGTGGTCCAAAAAATTGGAACATTTGTTAATTGAACACAAAACCTTTATTTTTCCTCTAAAATGCATCAAAATTTCACTGAGCATAGTTCAGTCACTTATCTCTCTGATGTAAAGTTTATAGGTGCAATCCACAAAGTTAATGCATTAAACTAGTCAATGTTTGATATGACCCCCTATTCTTAAATATACACTTGTCAATTTCGCAGCTACTTTTTCAAGTATTCTTTATTTCAAAACTTTCATGAACATGTTGATTGCTATACACATTTTATAAAATCATATTTGGTTGACATGAGGTATTAACATCTATGGTTTATTGGAAAACTATTGTCAACTTAATAATACCCCAAATCATTATTTTTATTTAAGAGTAGGAAAGAACGAACATGTCAGAGGTGCGTGGTTGCATAACCCATACAGCTACTAAACTGACAAAATCATTGTTTCCAATTTTCAGTAGAGGGGAAACTGACTAGTTATTTACAAGGCTTTATTAAAGACCACCTCTAAGCACACATAATATAATATATCATTTGTGTTCTGGGAAACTCCTTTATGATATTGATACACATATATTGATATATTCAATGAATATTATTGAATTTCATATTAGAACAAGAAAGGGGAGGGGGTTCATTTACCAGTCAAAACAGACTGCCCTGACCTCTTTCTGGAGAATATTCAATCAGTAATATATCCAACAATAGCCATCAAAATATGCTTGATACCCATTAATTTGGGTAAAGAAATGTTGAATATGTTTATATATTTGATCTTCCAAGGCAAACATATAAGTAGTTTGTGCGGTCCGTTTGTTCAAGCTGAATTTTTAATCAAGATTGCTTGGACAAAATCAAACGAACAGCAAAGTGAATGAATCATTTCAAAACTGAGTCCCAGGCTTCAACTTGTGATTCAGGAGAAAAGGGGTCATATCAAACATTTTCTAGTTTAATGGATTAACTTTGTTGTTTGCACCTATAAACTTTACATCAGATAAATAAGTGATTGAACAAATACTCAGTAAAATTCTTGTGCATTGTAGAGAAAATTTTTTGAGTTCAATTATCAAACGTTCCAATTTTTTTTGGACCACCCTGTATATTTCAAGATTTACAACAAATGCCAATCAGTGATTTAGTATGCAGATGTATGAATGTATGGATTGGTATTGTTTCAATATAATTTCCGTCCATAATGTTGCCTAGCAACCACCTGGCAACGGCACAAACATTGAAATAGCGAAATTGAAAAATTGGGGGTACGGGGGATAAAAAATTATATCTAAAGTTTGGAAAAAGGTATCATCATAATTCTGATACCGTAGTGTGCATAAACCTTTAGGAATATGCCAAAACAATTCAAAGGTATTCATGGAGTAGTATTTCAAAAATTCGTTTTTCTCGCAAATTCGTGAAGAAAACGCGTTTCACGACCAGTTTTTTCGGCTCACAATGTGAGTTATATTCATGTCACTCTGCATGTCTACATGTCTCTGATAATGACTGCTTTAACATATATTTTCAGGTATCCAATGCTCCGAATCAAAGGTTTCAATCGCAGACACAACAGACCCAACTTGTAGAAAATATATTGAGTGTTTTAACAATAAGATCACACATAGGGAGTGTCAGTGGGGATTGCGGTATAGTGCTGAGGATAAGAGATGTTTACTTGCAATCATGGTACCATGTTAGTAGGACCTTTAAATTTGCGAACAAATAGGTCAAACAGAATCATTGATATGATACCTCACTATTATTACCTAAACGGAACCTGGTCTTAACCGATTTTTTGAAGTTCCATCCGATGAAGTTCGTTGTCTTAACGGAGGAATCTAATAAACTTAGTATACATTTGAAAGTTTGTAAAACTTCAAGGGAGATATGAATGGTTTGTTTCCTACTCGTTAAAAGCTAGTATTGGCTCACGCAGCAGTGAGCATGTGTAATCTTCTAGGCGTCTCTCCGTCCGTGACGATTAGTTGAACTTTGAATTCACATTTTTGAGATTCGCGAATTCAATGGCTTTACTTTTGATGGCGTTGAAATTCATTTCCAGGTCGAGACTTTTTAAAAATTCAACGAAGATCAGATCAGATGGAGACAAAGCTTTCTTTAACCATATTGTCTTTAGCATATATACAGGGTGGTCCAAAAATTGGAACATTTGTTAATTGAACACAAAACCTTTATTTTTCTTCTAAAATGCATCAAAATTTCACTGAGCATAGTTCAGTCACTTATCTCTCTGATGTAAAGTTTATAGGTGCAATCCACAAAGTTAATGCATTAAACTAGTCAATGTTTGATATGACCCCCTATTCTTAAATATACACTTGTCAATTTCGCAGCTACTTTTTCAAGTATTCTTTATTTCAAAACTTTCATGAACATGTTGATTGTTATACACATTTTATAAAATCATATTTGGTTGACATGAGGTATTAACATCTATGGTTTATTGGAAAACTATTGTCAACTTAAGAATACCCCAAATCATTATTTTTATTTAAGAGTAGGAAAGAACGAACGTGTCAGAGGTGAGTGGTTGCATAACCCATACAGCTACTAAACTGACAAAATCATTGTTCCCAATTTTCAGTAGAGGGGAAACTGACTAGTTATTTACAAGGCTTTATTAAAGACCACCTCTAAGCACACATAATATAATATATCATTTGTGTTCTGGGAAACTGCTTTATGATATTGATATACATATATTGATATATTCAATGAATATTATTGAATTTCATATTAGAACAAGAAAGGAGAGGGGGTTCATTTACCAGTCAAAACAGACTGCCCTGGAGAATATTCAATCAGTAATATATCTAACAATAGCCATCAAAATATGCTTGATACCCATCAATTTGGGTAAAGAAATGTTGAATATGTTCATATATTTGATCTTCCAAGGCTAACATATAAGTAGTTTGTTCGGTCCGTTTGTTTAAGCTGAATTTTAATCAAGATGGCTTGGACAAAATCAAACGAACAGCAAAGTGAATGGATCATTTCAAAACTGAGTCCCAGACTTCAACTTGTAATTCGGGAGAAAAGGGGTCATATCAAACATTTTCTAGTTTAATGGATTAACTTTGTTGTTTGCACCTATAAACTTTACATCAGATAAATAAGTGATTGAACAAATACTCAGTAAAATTCTGGTGCATTGTAGAGAAAAAATAACGATTTTGAGTTCAATTATCAAATGTTCCAATTTTTTTGGACCACCCTGTATATTTCAAGATTTACAACAAATGCCAATCAGTGGTTTAGTATGCAGATGTATGAATGTATGGATTGGTATTGTTTCAATATAATTTCCGTCCATAATGTTGCCTAGCAACCACCTGGCAACGGCACAAACATTGAAATAGCGAAATTGAAAAATTGGGGGTACGGGGGATAAAAAATTATATCTAAAGGTTGGGAAAAGGTATCATCATAATTCTGATACCGTAGTGTGCATAAACCTTTAGTAATATGCCAAAGCAATTCAAAGGTATTCATGGAGTAGTATTTCAAAAATCCGTTTTTCTCGCAAATTCGTGAAGAGAACGCGTTTCACGACCAGTTGTTTCGGCTTGATTTTCATGAAATAAAGCATACTGGAAAGAAAATGCAATATGCTAAATTATTTTCTAAGCCTATCAAACAAAGCAATAATCTTCTTTCTGGTATTTTCAAGAGAATAAGAAACAAAGTAACAATCAATATTTTATGAATTTCAATTTTATCATTATATGTTTAAAACCTGCTTCAAGTTCCAACTATCATAACTTTACCTCTCTACCCCAATCACCTTGGTTTTTACGCAAAAAGTGTCTTGTAGTAGTGGCTCAAGCTAAAAAATGAAGGAGGACAAGGTTGCACTGAAAAATTCGAGAGCGAGGGGGGTCGGATTGACCCCTCCACAGACATTAGGGTTGAAGAATTGAACGGGTATCTAGGATTTTATATGAAACCCAAATATGGATCCGAATTTGAAAGAGTCCAAATATAAGCTTGTATTCGCGAATGCAACCAACGCCTGTCGTCTACCAGGTTAACGTATTTTAAGTACAACGCTGATAATATATGGCCTCACAATGTGAGTTATATTCATGTCACTCTGCATGTCTACATGTCTCTGATAATGACTGCTTTTACATATATTTTCAGGTATCTCATGTTCCAATTCAAAGATTTTGATCGCAGACACAACAGACCCAACTTGTAGAAAATATATTGAGTGTTTTAACAACAGGATCACACACAAGGAGTGTCAGCGGGGATTGCTGTTTAGTGCTGAGGAACAGAGATGTTTACCCGCAATTATGGTACCAGTACCATGTTAGTAGGACCTATAGGATCGACTGACCAAATATATAGGGCCGACCACCAATTACACACATGTCTGGGATAACACTTCTACTGTATTTACTTGTACATCTAGGTGAATTAAACATTGATTTAATTCATTTCAGACGTTTCTTTCATTATGAAATTGTTATTGATATAATTCATCGGAATAAATTTGTCTTTTGTCTGATATAATGATCTCTGTATTTATTTTATGCGACGCACTGGTAAGTAAGGTCAGCAAAATAAGCACCTGGCTCTTGATTATGCCATTAGCTCTGGCATATATTGATCACTTTGTCAAACAGCATAATTTATAAACTTTAAGAAGGTCACTTTGCAGACACTGCATTATGATCTACCAGGGACTTACTCAGAAATGTTTAGGTTAATCTGAAATCAAAGGGAATTAAAAAGCAAAAAGTTCTCGAGGATCAATGCAGTACTTATTTTTTAGTAAAGGCCTACATTATGAAATTATAACAAGCTATTAATTTGTCTCAAAATTCGTTGCAGCAATATTACATTGTTTTAAACGTTTCTAAATCTCAAATGATGATTATGTGATTAAGTTTTCAAAGTCCCATAATTTAACACTTAATTCCCTTGTGGCTTTAGGGCTCAATACGAAGAATGGGTGAAGCTCCAGAAACTATGCATCCAGTATAAAGGAGAATATTTTGAGCATTTAATGAAGTGACATGCTTGTTAGGAACTTCAATTTAAAATGCAATGTTTTGTAAAGTGTACCTAATGTGGAGAACTTTTTAAACATACGTTTCTCTTAAACCAGTCAAAAAAATCTAAAAAAACACATCCTCAATTTAATGATCCTCTTTTGAATGGTTACAATATAATTTGAAATATATATATATACTTTCATCTATATTGTTTTAGAAAACTCACCAAACACTTGTTTTGTTCTTGGTATCATGTTTCCAGAGTGAAATGAAACATCTTTCCGAACCTCATTGGAACAAAACGACATAAACACAACATGTTTAGGCCTCTCAATATTGTGATTGTACAAAGGAAATTTTGGTTGATTTTAAATAAGTATCTTGTTAATGAAATAAAAGGTTTATCTTGATTTTTATCTATAATGGGGGGATTCTGTTTTAATTTTTTGAATACTTTTTAAAAATTTTAAAATCAACCAAAAATTCGTTTGTATAACTATAATATTGAGAGGTCTATAAACATGTTGTTACATGTTTAAAACATGTTATTACATGGTCTAAAAACATGTTTTGTTCCAACGAGGTTCGGAGACATTTTATTTCATTCTCAAGAATTGGTAGAAAGGAGCAAAAACAATTGCATTAAAAAAACAAAAAATGTTAACAAAAACAGTTATATAAAATATTTCTAAATAGTTTTCGCATTAAATTGTTGTCAATCAGTCAACATTACATAAAATACCGTGTTTTACAGAATGTTTTCAAGGATTGGTTTAAGAGAAAAACATTGTTGAATTCAGTTCTCCATATCGATACCACTCCTTTAGCGACAACAGATTCCCGATATAGACTTGTAACCGTAAATCGATACTATAATTTGTAATTTTTTATATTTTTCAAAATTTCAAACTTCTCAACTTAAAGTTGTACCAAAACCAATTAAAGAATCCCATATTATCTTGTTTTTAGCACAAATAGCACCCCTTTTGTTATTTTGACCTGTGGCTTTTATACGGTATGATAGCATAAATATCTCCAAATCGACTAAAATGGTTTTAGTACAACTTTAAGAATTTGAAATTCCGGGCTGATTTTTAAAAAAAAATACGGGTTATATCCGGGTTGTATAAAAATTATTCCAGGTTTAATCCTGGTTCAATTTTCATTAAAATTTCCGTTTTTGGGTTGAATTTTAATAAAAAACAGGTTTTTCCGGATTGGTATTTTTGATGAATAAACGATGCATGTTGCATCATCGGTCTTTCAAATGCAAGACCCTGTTCTCATAATGTGAATTGTATTTTTACGTCAAAATCGGCAATTTCCCGGAACGGGCGAAATTAGGAAATGGTGATGACATGTCATTTTTTCCCCTCATTTCACGAGTTGTAGGCAAAATCTCCACGACGTTTTTATCACAATCTTGTTGCAGTAGTATACAGGGTGTTCCAAAAGTAACAGGACTGGTGCTGGTATTTTGTTAAATATGAACCAAAGCAACAAAGCAACTAATAAACCAAACAAAAAATGTTGTCTTGTAATAGGTGAATTAGATACTTTCTTCGGTAATACAAAAATGTTAGATATCACATTTTCATGAAATAGTTGCCCCGGGTAATGTGATATCTTGTTACTATAACAACCATAACTCTACCCGCCTTTTATCATTTTTTCTGAAACTTTACATTTTTAGTTGCAATACTCCTACGTACAATTTGTAAAAAATTGAAGACACTCGGTGCAGAATTGATAAGATGCAAGCACCAGACCTGTTACTTTTGGAACACCCTGTATGTCTGAGAAAACCTACACATTTTGCGAACAAATAGTTCAAACAAAATCATTGATATGAAACCTCACTGTTATTACGTAAACGGAATCTGGTCTTAACCCGTTTTTAAGGTTCCATCCGATGAAGTTCGTTGTCTTAACGGAGTAATCTAATAAACTTAGTAACCATTTGAAAGTTTGTACAACCTCAAGGGTGATATGAATGGTTTGTTTCCCAATCGTTAAAAGCTATTATTGGCTCACGCAGCAGTGAGCCTATGTGATCTTCTAAGCGTCTCTCCGTCCGTGACGATCGTTGAACTTTGAATTCACATTTTTGGGATTTGGGAATTCAATTGCTTTACTTTTTGTGGCCTTGAAATTCATTTCCAGGTCTGAGACTATTTGGAATTCAACGAAGATTAGATAAGATGGAGACAAAGCTTTCTTTAACCCTTATGTCTGCAACCTTTTTTTATAACACTAAGTCGCACGAGGGGAGTCATTTGGACCCCCCTCTGTATTGTTTTGAACGCCTCTAAATCTCAAATGATAACTATGCGATAAAAGTTTTCAAAGTCCCATAATTTGTTTCCATGGTGACAAATATCACCAAGGATCCGATGGCTTGGAAATGTTACAAGTCAGTGTGTGAGTTTAAAGTCAATCTTATCATTTTGAGTTATTGTTAAACATGTATGTTACAGACAGAACACTCAATATGATGCTTATTTAATAAAGTGGAGTCCATCACAACTAAGCTTTTTGGTGGCGAAAAGTTAACCTAGTTAATTATCTTCCTGGGTCATATATAATGGTACCAATTTTGAATTGAATCTAGCAATCGTTTTGGCCTGAAATTTACGAGTCGCCCAGAGGTCGGATTCCTTATCGAACGCATATTTGGAATTCGAGGCTTCCGTTCTTCATATTTGCTAAGACAACGGATTAAATTGGTAGTTTTAAACTTTTCCAGCTAACATGGAGCCCCTTTTCAAATTTGGGGCACGCAATTTAAAAAAGAATATATGTATCAGTATCAGTGTTACTATAATGAATGGGGAAACAGAATGGCTAACCCAATATCGATATGTAGAACTTTTTGAACACACGTTTCTCTTAGACCAGTCATAAAAAAATCTAAAAATTTAACACATCGTCAATTTAATGGTCATCTTTTGAATGGTAACGATATAATTTGAAAAATATATATATACACTATACACACACTATATACACACCAAACACTTGTTTTGTTCTTGGTATCATGTTTCAAGAGTGAACTGAAACATCTTTCCGAACCTCATTGGAACAAAACGACATAAACACAACATGTATAGGTCTCTCAATATTGTAATTGTACAAAGGAAATTTTGGTTGATTTTAAAAAAGTATATTGTTAATGAAAAAAAAGTTTTATCATGATTTTTATATCTATTTTGGGGGGATATTTTGAATACTTTTTAAAATCAACCAAAAACTCCTTTGTATAACTATAATATTCAGAGGTCTAAAAATATGTTGTATGTGCTATTTTGTTCCAACAAGGTTCGGAAAGACATTTTATTTCATTCTCAAGAATTTGGAGAAAGGAGCAAAAACAAAAAATGTTAACAAAAACAGTTATATAAAATATTTCTAAATAATTTTCGCATTAAACTGTTGTCAATCAGTCAACATTACATAAAATACCGTGTTTTTTACAGAATGTTTTCAATGATTGGTTTACGAGAAAAAACATTGTTGAATTCAGTTCTCCATATCGATACCACTCCTTTAAAAAATGATGACATTTCCTTGCAACTTGAAGGCATAGCTTCATAGCTTGAAGGCAAGCCCAACACGATGGTCTATGCTAATTAGCTTCCAGGGTACTGTATAGAGGGTGTATTTTTGTGAGATGTATAATTTTAAGGACTAGAAATTGAACATGTTCAAAATAAGACTCCAAATGGTTGATCAACTCACCATACACGTTTCTATTCAACAGATGTGTTCACCAGACATGTATAGACAGCATGAAAAAATAAATCTTGCTTCACGCCATTCATTTTGTACGATTTACGGCCGTGGCTAAATGATAATAATTATTTCGTTGTTCGCTCTTTAATCGAGAAGGTTCGAAAATATGTACTTAAAAAGCACTCAAAAAGAAACACATTTCGTGTAGCTATTTGCGTGACCCGAAAGTTCTGAATCAAACTAATTACGCAATTTTGTTATTACAGCCGCACGCTAAATAAAAAATGACACCATCAGAAGTATTGTTCTTTGTCATTGCTTTAATGGTCAGTTTACCGAGTATAATCAAGAAAAGCTTGTACAATGAACAATAAAATTCGGAAACGAGTATATAGATTTACTTTTGGACACTGAACCGATTGACCTAGATAATAGCGATGCGTGTTCTTTGGCATCATGACAAACCATGACATCTCAAATCTTCCCAGCCATGAGATGTCTCAGGTGAAACAGAAAGATGCTATGAGTATCAGAATGCTTCTTCGGTCAACTGCTTAGTTGCTTGTCGATTTTCAACGTAACTCTATAATGAAATTTGAAAAAGTGTCCTTTTATTCTGTTGTTGCATCGATGTTGCAGTTTGTAGTGCGGTAAGATTGGAATGAAATTGTTGAAAGTCG